CTGTCCAGGTCAGCCTGAATCACCCGCCTGTCTTCTGGTGTAATTCTTTAATAGTTTGCACACTAAAATATTTTCATAAAATCTTAGGTGTGATTCATTAAACTAACAAACTAAAATTAAAACTGAATTAATTTAACATGTGTGCTGGCTGTCCTAACATGGAAAGCAATGAACTTAAACAAAAATGACAAAAATGTACCTAAACTTGAATCTTTTTTGTGACACAAAATTATCTAACAGTTCATTGAAGACATATCAGAATAAATCATTTTGTGATGCTGCTAATGCAATGAATTGCAACTGGACTCCTGATTGATGTCACAGAAAAATGCATTCTGAAACATCTTCAATCATCTAGAAAGTGTTGAGAAGAGTTCAGGGGGCCAGAAGACTACTTTTACTTTAAAAAATTACTTTTGCACTGAATAAATCATCTCTGTGTTGCATGTGCTCGCTCTCTCTCATACACACATACACTAACTGACTGTGACATTAACAAAAATCATTAGGCTTGTGCGAATAGGGAAGTATTAAATTCAGATTCGGCCAATTCAGAGGACAATGGTTCAATTCGGAGATTCGGATTACTGTCCTGAAGCAATTCAGCTGAATCAGCTTCGGAAGATTCAGTGAGATTTGGTGATTTGCCATAGAGTATGATAAAGATTCAGCGAGATTTGATAAAGAGGATTCAGCGATATTTGGTGATTTGTCATAGAGTATAATAAACCTATAACTTTGTCATTTGTTGGCAGATTTGGATGAAAACAGCAGAGATGGTAGCCTGTTGCAGGGGGCCTTCCCAGTGCTGGTTAGATCTCTGCCCACTCACCTGTTTCTGAGCCAGTTGCCCGCCCCTCTTTTGCTCAGGCAGAAACAGCTCACAGAAAGGACAGAAAGGCTGCCGACAGAGACTTATATGCTGACCCTTCCCCAGATCACTGTGATTGGAAGGGGACTCAGGGAAAGATCACAGTCACTGGCCAGCTACAGATGTCAGTCTTTCCCTCCCTGCTCCCCCTCCCTCTTCTCGGTTTCTGTTCCCCTGAAAGACTGCCTTCTGAATCTCCGAATCTTTTTCCAAATCTTTCCAAATCTATTCGGAGGCTCCGAATTGATTCAGAGGTTTCTTTTTAGTCTCCTGATTCGATTTGGATTCAGTGATTCAGCCTCTGAATCGGGCCGAATCTTCCCCAAATCAAATCAGCAACTGCAGCTTCACACACCTCTACAAATCATGTAATTCATTACTGCCCTGACACGGCAAATACTCACTTGATGTTTTTCCGCATGCAACTAATCAGTCATGTAAGGCCCTTGCCACATTATTCTAAATGTGGCAAGGGCAACATTACACTTAAGAAATGACCAGGGATCCTGGTTTTCTCCAATTAAAAAAAATCCCCAACATTCGGTTAAAAAAGTAACCCCAAATCCAGATTTTTTCCATGATTAAAATGAAACACTACTATATACGTATCTATGTATTAGTGGTGTTTCATTTAAATCATGAAAAAATATGAATTTGGGGTTACTTTTTAACCAAAAATTTGGGTGGGTTTTTTTTTTTTTTTTTTTAAATCGGAGAAAACCGGGATCCCTGGAGATGATTAACCAGGTAATCACATCTGAAGTTGTGACACAGCCACACATTCAACCAACTAACAGCATGATAAAACAAGAAATAAGCAACAAAGTTATTCAACAAAAAATGTGTAATAACTTTGTGGCTAGTTCCTATCATGCCATTAACTGCATATGTGATCTGGGTTCCCAGCCATGGGCAGACAATACACGTCCAAGGCAGGGAGCCTGCAGCTGAACCAGGCCGCCAGCCATGAGAGTGCATAGTACACCCCCTCCAGCTGGGTTCTCCATCAGCTGACCCAAACCATTACCTTTATTAAACTGTATTGTAAGGCTTACAGAATGGATCTACATTCTTTGTTCTGTGAACAGCTAGTAGTGTGGCTAATTCAGTACAAATCTATTTAATAATCTGCTGCGGAGGCTCCCAGTCATGGGAGCTCGCTACTTGGTGGTAAAAGGCACTAGCAATAAGGTATCATAGGATCTGACATGCAATCCCACAATCATACTTCCTGCCCTGCTTGTATGTGGATTGTGTGGATAGCACATCAGATCCCATTGCAACTTTATCTGTATATCTGGCAAGGGCTTCAGACACATGCATGCACACTCCCCCCAGCTGATTGGAAATTAATATTTTAAAACAAATTATGTAACTCATTGCTGCCATGGCACTGGAAGTACTCATTTGATGTTTTTCCACACACAAGTAAAATCAGTGATGTTGAATTTAATAGAAATATCATATTTTCTCACACACAACACATACCTTTTCCTAAAACTCAGCCCCCCACAACTGACGTGTGTTTTAAGTGAAGAAACGGTTTTCTTTGCTAGAAAAGAAACACACCTGGAGACACCATGCGTGTCATGCACCTGCCAAGATGGCAGAGTCCTGTTTTACCCCACTCATAGCAATAGCTATCAGCTGAGCACCATAACATCTGCCTGAAGCAGCGAGCTGCTAGTATTGTCATGATGAGGCCTCTGATATGGAATCAACACTTTATTAATAGGAATTTCCTGGTGCCATGCTTTCTGACTACTATCTTTCCAGGAGGACTTACTCTATGTCACACAGTCATCTAAGTAGTTTTCTGCATTCTGCCTTCCAAAAACAAGGTGTGTGTTCTATGGGGAAGGGGTGTTACATGCACAAAAATATGATAATTATGCGTTTGTGTTGGCAGGATTGAAGCCCAACAGTTTATTTTGGTTAGAACATGGACCAGCATGCATCATATACTAAAAGACCTGCAATAAAAATATTTTTTTTACAGCACAAATTTACATTATGTCACATTAGAGAAATAATTTTAAAACCTTTTAAATTTCCCAGCAATAAACTGACTGTAGTGACTGTGCAAGTATGAGGTTGTTCTTTATTTTTTATAGAAACACTAGCACACAAATAAGAAACAAAGTAGATGGTTCAATACAAAAGGAATAAAAGAAGATATTATCCTATTTCTCCATGTAACATTTAATATCTGTTTGACTGTCAGTTCTCAGTAGTTTAATGGGACTTTGATAACTGTAGCATTCATCAAGGCTATTTTTTGGACAGTATCTCACCTGGTCTCTTCATCATCCCAAGCGATTCTCATGCCTTTCCCGCCACCACCTGCTGAGGCCTTGATCATGACAGGGTAGCCTAACAGCAGGGAAAAATTAGACAGAAGTTCAAACTTTGATCAGTTGGTAATATGAACATGACAACTGACCACATGTCCAATAATGCAGTAGACAATAACTGGTTTATTAGAAAGCTGATGATTTGGAGAGATTTATTTTATGGTACAACTAGGCTATCAGATTTTTGATACCATGAAAATGCTGCCTTCCCCATTTCATTTAAAGCAAAAATATTGTATGAACAGTTCCCAAATAGCAAAGAAAATGTTACGTAAATGGATTTATTTGACCTCCAAAATAGCTTTCCTGAACAAACAAGCTCTGTTACTCTCCTACTGTTAAAATAAATATTTACTCTGGTAAAATTAAAAGATATATACTTTATCAGCAGCAATAGACAGTAGATGGTCATCTGCAATTTGTCAAAAGTGCCAATAGGTAATTGAGGTAAACTTTAAATACCTAGGGACATCTCAAAAGATCTATGCTGCATGCACATTAAGCAGGTGAATAAACATAATTAAATATGGATAATCATTATATGCTGAATTTGCTATAATCTTTCCAACAGAATGTAACAAAACTGTTTCCTCTAAGCTGATAAGGAACTAAAACCAAAGGAGGGGCAGAAATCTGACCACTCTTCCCATACTGAATAATAATTTATTCCAGAGTAAGGTAACTTAATACTACTGTTTAAGTCTGGTTGAAGAATTATGTTGGCCTTGTCTGCATGACAGTGTACATGGGGAGAAATGATAAAGAGCACATCAAATAATCATACAGAGAAGGTAATTTTCCCTACTTCATAAAACAAGATCAGGGAACACTGTACAAAAATTAAATTCAAAACTAATAAGAGAAAATACTTTCCCACATGATGTGCAATTAGACTGTGGAACACCTTGCCTCTGAATGTAGAGGAGGCCAATATCTTCAAACAGTGATTAGATAACCATATAGAACATCCAGGATTATCACAGTTAATGGTAATCAAAAGCCTACTGAAAGGATGTCATCCACATGGGCACAAATGACACAGCCAGGGGCACCCCTGACCGCATTATGAAGGATTTCAAGGCTCTGGGGGACAAGCTTAAGGAGATGGGGGCACAGGTGGCACTCTCATCTCTTTTTCCGGTGAGTAGGCAGGGACGGTAACATGGGGCCTGCATTGGTGAGGTCAACTGGCGCTTATGCAGTTGGTGCCACCAGGCAGGCTTTGGGTTCCTAGATAATGAACCATGCGTTCGGGCAGGGGACTTGCTGAGGTGGGATGGGCTTCACCTCTCTCCTAAAGGCAAGCATGTCTTCTCTTCCAGGTTGGCTGATCTCGTACGGCGAGCTTTAAACTAGCCTCGCC